ATTTGTTTGAGGATATAGACTATATATCCAAAAAACAAGAGATATACAGGTCAAGTAATACATCAGTATGCTTCAGAAATAGCAAAAGAACAAAAGGAAGTCTTTATCACAGGGAATGAAATTTTTATGTAGGATTTATGGCAAGATATAAACAAAAGTCACAGAGAATGAGAAGAGGTGGAGGAGTTGTGATCTGCCTGAAATCACAGATCCACTGTGTACTGATTATGTATGTCTAATTTTGTGGAACTTCAGGATACAGTACAAAATCCACTTCTATAGACAGGCATAGCTTTTTTGAAGAAATTATCCTGCACTTACTGATGATTGCTAGGAGGTTCTGAAATTAGTTCAATTAGTTCTTAGAGCAATGTATTTTATACTACTATGGCTCTCACTGAAGAGGTTTTGTCTAGATGCAAACAGAAAAAAAAAAAGCCATCTTCAAATAAGAGTTCTTAGAGAAACTAGACCTCAACAGTAAAGCTATCTTTTGTGTGGACTCTGTGCAGAGCATTTTGGTCTAATCCACAATGGAAAAACAAGTCCATGGAAAACACATTCTATATTATGACACACAATTGCACACACAGCCTATCAAGTTTATTCATCAAATCTCAGACAGGTGCTCCAGATGGAGAGTGTCCGGCACAGAGTAAGAAGAGAAGATAAGGCTGGATCACTTTAGTTATCCTTTCAGTCCTTTCAATCAACCCAAATTTCTCCTTATTGCAAAAGCCTATATTTAATATCTATATTCTCCTCACAATGCCATGAACTGTAGAACACAATGATCTCAGGAGCATAAAAATTATAGGTAACCCAAAGGGCAATGGAAAGATGCATGCTACATATAGATAAAATTATAACTAGCAATTTCTGTACCTGAGATAAACAAAGTGAAGTTCTCCCTTGAATCAAGTTTGTAATTCATTATATAGGATCAAAGGAGCTTAGATGTGGAGTTGGAAGGCACCTTAGAGGTCATAAAATCCAATGACCTCCTTTTATAAATGAAGAGACACAAGCCCAGAAATGAAAAGTGATTCTTGCAAAGTCACACAGGTAGTAAGCGGCAGATCCAGGATTCAAATCTCAGGTACTCTAAGTCTTAAAAAATATAACTACTGCGATTACTACTAATAATTATAATCACAACAAAAACAAACAACATTTACATGGTACTTTAAGGTTTGCAAAACATTTTATGTATGCTAACCCATTTGATCCTCACAACAACCCTGGAAAGTAATTATTCCCACTTTACAGTTGAAGTTTCCTATTATTATTCCCACTTTACAGTTGAAGAAACTGAAGCAAACAAAGATTAAGTAACTTGCCCAGGTTCACACAGCTAGTCAGTACCTAAGGCAGGATTTTAACTCAGATCTTCCTGACTCTAATTCCCAATCTGTATCCACTGTCACCTAGCTGCCTTGTACAATCTAATATTATTTTTACTCTGCCATGTATCTGGAACAAATTCAATTAAATGGCACAGAGAACTTGCTAAATGGAATCTCAGAGTTAAAAATAACTTCAGAGATCACCCAGTTCAATCCAAATGATCTGGGTCCATTATTTTTCTACCTTAACAGGGAGACTTTAGGAAGGCTCCTTGTCGTGCAGGATGGAGGACAAATAGGTAGTACTAGAATTATTACTCACCCTCTTTTATGAGAAGTGTTATTGCTTAGAGAGAAAGGGTAAATGAATACCTGGTCCACCAGGTAAGGTATGAAGGAAAGGAAAGTCCTAAGAAAAGAATTAAGTAATATAGGTTGGGGATTTCTTGGAGTAAAATGAGGGAGAAAGGGAGAGAGTGAACAGGATGCAATATGCTGTCCCAACAGACATTCATGATCCAAACTTTCTCTTCCTTGTTCCTCAGTCAGCATCTGACTTCCTCTCACCTCTTCCCACTCTAGTAAAAGAGTACATCTGTTCAAAATAATTTTTCCCTCTAAGTTCCCCATCGTGGGGAAAAGGCCTGGTTGCCCTAAGCTAGTTATGGCTCTAGACATAATTAGACTACATACAGCATGTTACTAGCCATGTTTTATACTTAGGAACTGAAATAAAGGACATTATCGAAGACACGTTATGAGTAGAAAAAGAGAGGTCATGTAGCAAGAATAAGACACAAGAATTGGCAGGCCAAGTGATATATCAATACACCCCAGAAATAGCAAAAGACCAAAAAGAAAACCTTTATCACAATGAATGAGTCCTTTATAGAGGATTTATGGCAAGGCACGGACAAGAGTCGCAGAGAATGAGAATGGGTGGAGGGGTTGTGATCTGCCTGAAATGACAGATGTATTAAAATGTCAAATGCATTTTTAGCTGTGTTTTTAGACTTTGTCCTATATCCTGAGGCTTCACATCAGAAGACGCTGCTTTAACCAGCAGATAAATAAATGGGAAAAGTATTGTTTTCCTTCCTCCTTCAGTCTCCTTGTCCTCTTTCTACCTACCAACAGCTTAAATTCCATGGAGACAGCATTATAGTAACTTTTCAACCTACCTAATGAGGATATATTTTGAGCTGACAAGGAGTAGAAGAACCACAATGGGCATTATTTTCATTCACTATGCCAAGTCCGGTTCACCAAATTTTAGGGGTCTTTCCCTTGTTCCCTTATACAAGGTGAGAATTAAATGAAGGAACAGGGCTCTGAGGCAGCAAGAACAAACAGTAGGGCTATTGTGGCCAAGGGTGGGGGGGGGGGGTAGTAGAACACAGGAGAAACTACTCATAAGGGCATAGCACATAGGGCTAGAAGAAGCCAAAAGACCATCTAGCTCTACTCCTTAATTTTACAGATGAGGAAACTGAGGCTTAGAGAGGGGAGGCGTTTTTGTCCAAGGTGACCCCTTTCGTGTTTAAAGCTTACTTCATCTAAGAGACTTCCTTGATGAACCCTACCACCTCTTTATTCCTTCCTTTGTTCTATACCCCATTTTGTTTTCTTTGTTTTTTTTTTTTACTAGATCAGTGATTTTATTTCATTGATATTGGGAAGTCTCAATAAAGAAATTCTCTTAAACAACCTACACCTGCAAGTGCTTGGGCAATTTATGGTCTTAGAGAGTTTCCCAGAGCACTGAGAAGTGACCTATCCAGGGTCATGTTTCTAGGATGGCTCAGGAGCAGGATCTGAACCCAGGTCTTCCTGACTGAGGTAAGATCTCTGAGCACTATACCAGGCCACCTCTCAGTTATAATTAATGCAGAATTTGTGTTTATTAAATTTGAACTCTGTTATTTTGTCCTTATTACCATGTTGATATTCTCACATATGTAGATTTTATCCTCTCCCTCTTGACTATAGGGCCCTAATGAATAGGGACTATGACATCTTTCCTTCTTCCTTCTTTCTATAAAACCTTGAATGTATTACACAGAGAAGGCCCTCTAACTTTACTTGTTGACTAATAATAGTAGCTAACATTTATAAAGCACTTGAATGTTTACAAAGAACTTTACAAGCCTTATTTCATTTGTTCCTCACAACAACTCTGTGAGGTGGGTGCTCTCTTACAAATGAAGAAACTGAGGATCATAGAGGTGTTGACTCTCCCCCATTGATAGAACTAGTAAATGATTGTGGCAAGATTCAAACCCAGTTCTATCTGACTGTAAGTTCAGCACTCTACCCACTATCTAACACTGCCACTACAGCTAACTAAACTCTCCCACTCCCAAACAGGAGAGACAGATGGTTGATGCTGAGCAAGCCCTGATCCTGGAAACTTTCCTGGAAATGTCTACTTCTGACTATGAGAACATAGGAAGTTTCCTGAGTTTTTTTAAAGTATGATGCTCTACTTGTATTGTTCTTACTAATGGCACTGTAGCTATTGGTAGGACTTCAAGTTAAGGGAGGGAGGGAAGAAAGGAATGGGGGGAGGGAAAGAGGGAGGAAGGGAGGGAGAAAGAACATTTATTAATACGTTTTAATGAAATGAAAATTATATGCCAAGCATTGTGCTAAGCACTGTGTATACAAATAAAAGCAAGTGTGACAGTCTCTGCCCTCCAGGAACTTACATTCTAATGAGAGAAGACAATATATAAAGGAGAAGTGGAGAGAGGGCAGGAGTATTGTTTGACTTGAAAGTGGGCAGGAAGTGGTACAGTCTCCTAGTTCTAGGCAAGATAAGGCAAGAACTCCCCTTTCAGAGACCAAGGTCCAAGAGGGAAAGCCCAAGTGCCAGTGGGAGGAGAATGAGAATGTGGCACCAGAGTGTATGTGGCAAAGTTTGGGAAGTTAGTAAAGCCTGATGGCTATAAGATGAATGCAGCAATTCATCATCATTGGCAAGCTGGCCAGGTCTACCATTAATGGACTATCCACTTGCACTAGTGGATTCTTTGGCCTTCCCCTAGAGAACTGAGCATGTGGGCATCTCAGTCAGGCAAAACAGCAACAGAACAAAAAGAAAATCTCAAGGTAACCAATCAATAAAAGAGGTAATTTGCCTTTGGGATGCCATTTGATTCAAAACCAAAAGAAAAAAGAAAGATCTGCCTCTATTGGGACTTTTCAGTCCATCTGGGGGATTTGTTTGGGGGTACTTATATACTGAACTATGAGGGATTCTCTGAGGGACAAAAATCACATGTAAACTGCGGCAACCAGCACAAGAAATGTCCAAAATTCTCTGTCCTCCGCCGCTGCTCAGGTCAGAGCCCACACAGTTATCAGGGGCTTTGTCTGGGAATAGAGGAGTGGGGGGCGGGGGAAAGAGACAACCTGGTAGCTTTGTTACCAAATGCCAGGGTCCTTGTTGAGATGCAGACAATGCCTCCCTGCTTCCATTATGTTGCTTTAGCCCCAGGCTCTGAAGAGTATTGATAAGGGGCACAGAATAAGCAAGGAAATCAAGGCTTTCTGAGTAATGGGCCTCGGAATCTTAGTTATTGTTAAATTTACAAATAACTTGAATAAACCTTTCAGTTAAAGAGGTAAAGAAGAAACAAGTTTTCAGCTCACCATTGGCATTGATCACACAATCATTCCTCACACAGAGGACAGCCTTTTGGAACAAGGACAGCCATCTTCTTACAATAAGGATGGATAAATCACAGTTTCCAAGTGAAAAGATCTGTCTCTCAGCAGTGTGTCCAGCGGCTCTCCACTTGACCTGAATCAAAGACACAAACAGTGTGAGACCTAGCTATTCAAGGACCTAGATCATTCCCTTGATTTGTGTCCCTTCAGAGCTGATGTCAAGTTAGGCCTACATTAACAATTCATTTCAATGCTGGCTGTGTATGTGGTTATATGTATGTGGGTATTTCTCTAGGCACTACCTTCTCTCTATATACCCTCTTTCCTTGGATATTGCATCCACTTCCCTGGTTTCAACTATCACATCTTTCTTCAGCCCCATCTGGCCCACGGAACTCCAGATCCAACGGCCTAGTAGATATTTGGGAAGCAGTGTGGTACACTAGAAAAAAAAAAAGGAATTTGGAGTCCATGGTTTTTCAGTCATTTTTCAGTCATATCTGACTCTTCGTCACCCCATGTAGGGTTTTCTGGCAAAGATACTGGAGTAGTTTGCTATTTCCTTCTCCAGTTCATTTTACAGGTGAAGAAACTGAGGCAAACAGAGGTTAAGTGATTTGCCCTGGGTCACACAGCAAGTAAGTGTCTGAGGCTGGATTTGAATTCAGGTCTTCCTGACTCCAGGCTTAGTGCTCTATCCACCGCATCACTTTGCTGCCCCTGGAGTCCATGGATCTGGGTTCAAATACCTTATCTGCCTCACAGTACCTGTGTGAACTTGGACAAATCACTCAGCCTCTCATAACCTCAATTTCCTCATCTGTAAAATGAAGGAATTTGAACTAAATGCCTCCTAAAGCCCCTGCCATCTCTAAATCTATTGTTCTATGAGCTCTACCTAGTTGACCTGCCAATAACTGAAACTCAATATGTCCCAAACTGTACTCATTATTTACCTCTCAAAACCTGTTCTTCCTTTACTGATTTCTTGACCCCTATTAATGACACTTCTAGTGTTCTAGACACCCAGACTCAAAATCTTTACACACACATACATACATGTACACATGCACACACACACATCCAATTAGATATCAATTCCAGATAATCTCACCTCTTTTATATCTCTCATCTTTAACTTTTCCAATCCCACTCCCACCACACTAGTACAAACCTCCATTATCTCTCTTCTAGACTGTAGTGGCCTCCTAACTGGACTCCCCATTTACAGTCTCTTTCTACTACAATTAATTCTAAAATTATGACCATATTCATCTTCCTAAAGTACAGCTCTCTGATCACGTTACTCCTCTGCTCTGGAAGCCACAATAACTTCCCACTCTCTGCTGCATGTATGTCCTTAACCTGAGGACCTACACAATTTGGTTCCATCCTAGCTGCCTGGTACAGCAGAATGAGGACTATGATACCATGGTCATGGATATGTCCCATGACTTCCTGACCACATGTTTTTTGTTTATATAGTTCCCCATTCCTTGAATGCCACTGCAATCTCAACTTGTTGAAATCCGATCCATTCTTGAAGCTCAAAGTCTATCTTTTCAATGAAACCTTCCCCAATTTTCCCATTCAGATATAACATCAGTGCCTGGGACTTCCCAGACACTTAACACATTTGGTTCTGTACTTTAGTTATTTGCATACCTTTCTAATCTCCTCTACTAGTTGGTAAGTTCCTTGAAGGTAGCTAGATTGAATCTTATCTCTTTCTGGATCTCTCCCTGTACCTAAAGTATCAAAGTTAGCAAGTCCTCAAAAAATATTTCTTCAATTGAATTGTTCTGAGAAAGACTGATGCTCAATGTAATGATCATTTATTAAGCATTTACTTAGTCACAAACTCTGCGGGAGGTCCTGGGGATAGAAACAGAATGGAACAGTCCCTGTTCTCAAGGAGTTTGTTAGCATATATGAGCATATACACATATATGTAAGGTAAATGTGTTGCCCATGTAGGTTATAGGTGTCCTTGTAGCTTTGTCAAACTTCACCTCACAAGAAGTATGAACAGATATCTCTGGAACTTTGACCACCCTTCTCCAAGGGAGACTTTGATTCTGCCAGGAGAATAGTAAAAAATAGGGGGCCACAAGGCTGGCCCCCTATGCTCTATTCAGATCTGTTTATCTGCCCTCCTAAATACTGCTAGTCCAGGGAAAATAAGTTTTAGCTTCATGTCACTTTTCATTATCTCTTAATAGAGAGGAAGCATCCCAAGCTGTATCTAAAAGCTTGACTATCTTCAGGGCAGCTAGGTGGCACAGTGGATAGAGCACCAGCCCTGAAGTCAAGAGGAACTGAGTTCAAATCCGGCCTCAGACCAAACACTTGACACTTAACAGCTGTGTGACCTTGGGCAAGTCACTTAACCCCAACTGCCTTACCAAAAAAAAAAAAAGCTTGACTGTCTTTTCATTAAATGCCAATAGTACAAAGGCTAACACACAGAGTAAATGATGAAAAAACCCATTTATTGAAGACAATAATAAACAGCAATCAGAGAAGTTATACAGATTAGAATACAGCAAGCAATAGACAGAAGGAATGAAATCTCCAACTGGGAGAGAGATAATTCAGCTCAACCAAGAATCTCCACCATCAAGTAAGAGGAAGTTCCCCAAAATCTCTCATGAGGCAAGTCATAAATACAAACATGCGCGAGGCACTAGCTCCTCTACATGTCAGTTTCTTGACAGAGTCTTTTCCTCCTTCCAGGGACCAAAAAAGAGTCCAGAATTGGTTGAGTCTACTCTGGAGGCTGGAAGCCAGAAGAAAGCTCTCCTCTCCCAAGGTCTCTCTAATTCTGCCTCTCACATGGGCAGGGAACATGAGGAATCATTCTCTCCACCAGTGAGGAGAATCTTGCAAATGTGAATGCTTTGTCTTGAGCCCTAAGTTACCTATAGAATAATATAAAGCAGTTTAGCGAGAAAGGACACTAGCAGCTGAGGGGAGAGTGGGGAGAGATGAGGAAAGGCTTCATAAAAGGTATAACTTGAGCTGAATTCTGAAGTGAGGGACTCCACTAGGCAGAAGGGAAGAGCTAGTACTTCCAGGCATGGGGGACTTTGAACGCAAAGTCACAAAGGTGGGAGATGGAGTGTTGTGCGTGAGGAACACCATGAAGGCCAGTTTGGTTAGATGGCAGTGTGCAGAAACAGGAGCAATGGAATCCTAGATCAGGAGCTGAAAGGGACCTTAGAGATCATTGAGGCCAACCCTGTCATTATACAGATGAAGAAACTGAGGCTCAATGAAGTCAAGTGACTAGCTCAAGGTCACACAAATGACCTAGTAAGTAGCAGAGCTAGAATTTGAAACCAAAACCTCAGGCTCTGCTCAGTTCCCACTCATGGCTCCTAGACTTGCAAACCTTGCTGTCTTATCTTGGAATCTCTCTGAGCATTTGGGGCCTCCTCACACTGAAATATCCAATCAAATGTGGCCACTTCAACTAGGAACATCCCTCTAAGGCTGGATCTTTTCTCCAATAGGTGAGTTCCTTCTGTAGCCTCCATTTGTTGGGGGGCCCCAGCTGGTGTCATTCCCCTCCTGGTCCTATTCATAGCTTCTAGACTTCATAACTATGCCCCTTTTCATGTACCTTTATTCCCTCCTCCCCACCCTCAGTTTTTCCCACTCCTTTTTGTGTTATCATCCTCCATTAGATTGCAAACTCATTGAGGACAAGTATTCTTTCTTTTTGCTTGTATCTTTATCTACAGCACCTAGCACATAGCAAGCAATTAATAGGTGTTTGTTTCCTTCCTTCCTTTCTCCACTGCTGTTGTTGTTCTGTCGTTTCAGTCATGTCCAACTCTTTGTGACACCATTTGGGGTCTTCTTGGCAAAGACACTGAACTGGTATACCATTTCCTTCTGCAGCTCATTTTACAGATGAGGAACCTGAAGTAAACTGAGTTAAGTGACTTGCCCAGAGTCACACAGCTAGTAGCTGTCTGAGGCCAGATTTGAACTCAAGTGTTCCTACTCCAGGCCTGGTGATCTATCCACTGTGCCACCTAGCTGCTCCTTCCTCTGAATTCAGGACTTTTCCCCTTACACCATATTTCTTCAATATAATAAAGCTTGAAAGATAGATCGGAACCAGGTTCTGAATGGCTTTGGAAGCCTTAAAAGTTTATATTTGAATCTATATGGAATAGAAAGTGACTAGGATTTATTGACTAGGAGAATGACATGGTTAAACCTATATTTAAGGAAAGTCATTTTAGCAGCTACCTGGCTCATAGCAAGTTTGTATTGACTAACTGGAGGTTTGATCAGATTGAGGGACTAAGAGATTAAGAAACACATTTCAATTATTTGCCTCAACTGACCAGAGTCCTCGAATCCTCTACTCTGGGGTCTGTCTGCACCCTCCCTTTCCCAGCTTTTTCCCTTTTGAAAACACTAAAAATAATGTCCTTACATTAATTTTTACTACAACCAATCACCTGCCATGCTTGAAACAGAGACCGCACTCAGAGTGCCCTTAACTCTAATAAACATGAAGTTCACATTTACAAGAAGAATGGGAACCAATGGGTGAAAGCCCATGAACTGAAGGAACACAATGGACACATCACAGGTATTGACTGGGCTCCCAAGAGTGATTGAATTGTAATTTGTAGTACAGACAAAGTCTGGAGTCAGAAAGATGGCTTGTGGAACCAACCCTGGTGATCCTGAGGATTAATCATTCAGTCACCTTTGAGAAATGGTTTCCTCTGGAGAATAAATTTGCTGTAGGTAGCAGGGCTCAACCAATTTCCATGTGTTACTTTGAGTCTGAAAATGACTGGTGGGGGAGCAAACACATAAAAAAGTCAATCTGTTCTACTGTCCTTAGTTTGAACTGGCATCCCAACAACATTTTACTGGATCTTGTGACTTCAAGCGCAGAGTTTTTTCTGTCTACACTAAAGAAGTTGATAAAAAGCCAGTCAGTACTCCATGGGGTACCAAGATGCCTTTTGGTCAACTGATGTCAGAGTTTGGAGGTACTAGAAGTGGTGGTTGGTCCCATGGAGTTAGTTTCTCTACCAGTGGAAATTGCCTTGCTTGGATTAGCCATGATAGTGCTGACGCCTCCAAAAACATGATGGTTCA